CAGTAGGGCCAAGAGACAAGCCAAGGGTTAACACGGAGAGTAGGACAACGTTGCCTAAACTCGATAGGCAGTTAACTCCTCTAACTAGGCTACACCGGGAAATCCGCCAAATCCACAAGGATGAGTTACCGACCCCCAAAACCTTTAGCACCCAACCCAAACAGGTCGACGGAACAGTATTGCGAGTATCACAAAGACCACGGTCACGATACTGAGGATTGTCGAGAACTTAAGAAGGAAATCGAGAATGGAGTTAAATCTGGTAAATTCCAACAATATGTGCAAGGAACCTCTTGACAACAAAACAACAAGCTTGGTACATCACGAAATTTCCTAAACAGAGTTTTAGGTGCCCTCGGGGAGAAAACCGTGAGAATAATTGGCAACCAATGAACAATATGCAACAAACTCCTCCACAAACTATCGTGGGAGCCCCACAACCACTTCAGCATATCCCCCCGGCGGATCCTACCAAGCAGATCACTCACCAGGTGGGTGTCATTTATGGAGCTCTTCTTGAAGTTTTATCTACCATAGCCATGAAAAACTCAGTACGAACCTCCACAAAAGCTCCCCGTCAGGAACCCAGTCACAAGAGAGTTCAAAGGGACAGAAGCCATAGTTTTCACTGATAGCGACGTAGTCCCAGATATCTGTCCACACAATGATGTCATGGTTATTGAGGCGATAATCGGAAATGTGCAAGTCAGTAGGGTCTATGTAGACAATGGCAGTGCAGTTAACATCATCTACAGCAATTGCTTCAAAAAGATGTACATTCAAAACCCTAATATTCGCCCAGCAACAATGCCATTGATGGGCTTCTCGGGCCACACTATTATCCCAACCGAAATCATAAGTCTCCCTATCACGGTAGTGTCGCATCCCAGAATGGTTACATTAACCATGGATTTTGCCTTAATAGATGCACCCTCGCCATTCAATGTGATCCTGGGATGACCCTGGATGTGCCAAGCCCGAGCGATTTCGTCTCCTTATCACCTAGTGATGAAATTTCCAACAGAATACGGAGTTGGAGTAGTGCAGGGCTGCCAACCCAGTTCTCGAGAATGTCTGCTCACAGCTTTCAAGATTGGGAAGAAGGCCATAAAGTCTAACCCAAGCACTGCCACATCAGGATGCTACTCGGTCCAACAAGCCGCGGTACAATCACGGTCGGAGGATCTCGACACTAACTTCCTGCCACCACTTAGTAGCAAAACATAGGAGCTTGTTCTTAACTAGAAGGATCCCTCCAAGACCATCCAGATAGGTATAACACCTCAAGGAGCATTGCTAGCCGAGGTAATCGCCTTGCTACGCGAGTTCCGCGATATATTTGCCTGGTTACCCACAAACATGACAGGAGTGCCACCACGAGGTATTATTGAACACAAATTGAATGTTGATCCCAATGTTAAACCCGTACAACAGAAGAAGAGAATATTTGCCCGAGATCACAATGACATAATCAATAAATAAACATTGAAGCTGGTTCGTGCTAATATCCTCTGGGAAGTTCTTTGGCCTACCTGGTTGGCTAACCCAGTCCTAGTACGAAAGCCCGATAACTCTTGGCGCATGTGCCAAGATTACACGGACCTCAACAAACATTGCCCCAAGGACTGCTACCCCTTACCCATCATAGATCAGATGGTCGAAGTTATCACCGGGTATAGGACCCTCATTTTCCTCGATGCCTATAAAGGATACCACCAGATCCTTATGGCACGAGATGATGCAGAAAAGACAGCCTATATCACAAAGATTGGAATGTACTGTTATGACAAGATGCCTTTTGGCTCGAAGAACGCCGGGGCAACCTATCAATGCCTTGTTAATCGAGCGTTCCACGATCAGATTGGCTGAAACATCGAGATATATGTGGACGAAAAGGTGATCAAGAGCAACAGAGATGAGCAAGTAGTCAAGGATATGCGCGATCTTCTCAATTCTCCGCAAAATTAATATGAAACTTAATCCAAAAAAAATGTGCCTTCTACGTGGGGTCAGATAAGTTCCTTGGGGACCACGTATCCACGGATCGAATCAGTGTTGATCCAGAAAAAATAGAGGCGATCCTAGCCATGGAAGCCCCGAAGAATATCAAGGAAGTTCAGAAACTTACAGGATCCCTGGCGGCCTTGAACAGATTCCTCTCTCGAGCCGCAGAAAGAAGCCTCCCATTCTTTCATACACTCCGCAAAGGTAGAACGTTTGAGTGGAATGAGGAATGCCAAAAAGCTTTCCAAGAGCTGAAGGACCATCTTAAACAGCTGCCCATATTGGCTAAGCCTGAACCAGGGGAAACTTTGTATGTATATCTCGCTGCCCGGGAAAAGGCCATATCGGCCGTCCTAGTCCAAAACAAGGATAGCAGGGAGATTCCTATTTACTTCGTCAGCAAAGTGTTACAAGGTGCAGAGACACGATACACGCCCATGGAGAAACTTATATTGAGTTTGATTATGGCTGCTCGACGTCTACGCCCGCACTTCCAAGCACACCCAATACGAGTGTTAACAGAGCAGCCTATTCAGCAAGTCCTCCTCAAGCCTGAAGCCTCTGGTCAGATGATGAAGTGGGCAGTAGAGTTGGGAGAGCACCATATAGAATATAAGCCATGAACGGCGGTCAAAGGCCAAGTGTTTGCAGACTTCCTAGTCGAGATACGAAAAGTCTAAGAATCACTCCGCTTCCCCTGTCGAGATAAATCCTCGAGTCTGGACGCTCTACGTCAACGACTGTCGTTGCGATGAGGGGGGAGGAGCCAGGATAATATTGGCAAAGCCCTCGGCTGATCCCGAAATCAAGAACATGAAAGAATATGATGCAGAGTATACCTATTCATTGGCTTCCTGATTACTAACAATGTGGCTAATTACGAAGCATTGATAGTAGGTCTTAATATGGCTCTAAAACTTCACATCCGAAAAATCTAAGTCTTTAGCGACTCTCAGGTGGTGATAAACCAAATCGTAGGTGATTATACAGCAAACGATGGGCAGCTCAAACAATATCTAGAGAAAGTTCTCGAGTTAAAAGATAAGTTTGAAGAATGCAAAATCTCCCATATCATAAGGGCAAAAAACACAAGGGCGGATGCATTTAGCAAGTTGGCCTCCTTGAACTTCGTGCACCTCAGTCACAAGATCTGGGTCGAGATCCTCCCCGAGCCTAGCATTTGGAAAATGTCGACAATGACTATCACCGAGGACGGTGACACGTGGGTGACCCTGTTTATTCAGTATCTAGCAGATGGGATGTTACCCAATAACAAGTCTGATGCTCGAGCGCTCCAATTGAAAGCGCCCGAGTACACGTTATGAGATGGAGTGTTGTACAAGCATGGTTACCTGCTACCCATGCTATGATGTGTCGGACCAAGACAAGCAGCATACATCCTCGAAGAGATTCATGAGGGATCATGCGGAGCACACATGGGAGCCAGGGCACTTCTAAGAAAGTACGGCGTTCTAGGTACTTTTGGCCCACGATTTTCAAAGATGCATATCAATTGGTACAAAAGTGGGATAGATGTCAACACTTTAACCCCATTACTCGACAGCCGCAGCACGATATGGTTACCATTCAAAGTCCTTGACCATTTTACCAATGGGGCACCGATATTATCGGCCCTTTTCATCCAAAAGGGGCAGAAGGAGTACGATGGGTAATAGTAGCGGTAGATTACTTCACCAAGTGGGTAGAAGCCAAACCGCTGGCCTCAATATCTGGAAGACAAATGCTGAATTTCTTCTGGCAAAATGTCGTCTGCCGCTTTGGAATTCCTAGGGTTATTGTCTCCAACAATGGCACTCAATTTGAGAGTAACTCTTTCAAGTCTTGGTGCAAAGAAATGCAAATTGAGCGTCGGTTCTCAAGTGTAGCTCACCCCCAAGCAAATGGCCAAGCAGAGTCTATTAATAGAACTATCTACATGGAATCAAGACCAGGCTACGCGACACTAAGGGAGCTTGGGCTGAGGAGCTCTCCCATGTCCTGTGGTCATATCGTACCACAGCTCACTCCTTGACAAATGAAACCCCCTATAGCTTGGTCTGTGGCATGGACGCGGTTCTCCCAGTCAAAATAGGTTTCGCAAGCCCTCGTACAATCAACTTTGTCGAGAGTTCTAATGACGATGATATCAGGCTAAACCTCAACCTGCTCGAGGAACGGCGAGACGCCGTCAGAATAAGAGAAGCCAGGTACAAGAAGATCCTCAGAAAACACTATAATAAGCGAGTCAGGGCAACAGACCTCACAATGGGGGATCTCGTACTCAGAAAGAACGAAGCCGCTAGAGCCAAGACTCCAGGGAAACTGACTGCAAATTGGGAAGGACCTTACAAAGTCATTCAAACTTCTCCAGCAGGCAGCTATCGGTTACAGACCACGGATGACAGTGGAATCGTCTTGCCACTATGGTGGAACATACAAAACCCCCGCAGGTTCTATGTTTAAGCTCCTATTTGCTACGTGCTAGTTTAGGTTGCCTACCTTATTTGTTTTATTTGCTTTATTGCTTTCACTTTTTCATATGTAATGCTAACCTAGGTCCTGAGATAATTATTCAATAAAAGTCATTGCATATTTTCTTATATGGTCAATATTATATTGAGACTAGTCTTCGAGATGGACTCCCTCTTTAGGGCCATCCTCGTTCAAAGCCGTGTATTCAACATCTGGATGAAAACCGAGGAAGTCCCCTCGTACACACAGTGGATCGCGGTAATAACTCAAGGAACTCGTACCCAGCTCCCCCAGGGTGTCGTGTGTTTTACATCCGGCCATGAAAGCTCTATATAAATACTACTCGAGTACAAATAAACAACGACGCTGATAAGGCTGGAATCAAATATATTGCCCTCACACCTCGTACGGGATAGGGATAAATACATTTGTTTTCCCTTAAATACTAAGATCTTCCCCTTGGGGTTGAATCGAGACGGCTTAATCATGCCCGAGAATCCTAGCGTCCTAAGATGGTCGATATACTAGTTCAATTTGTCTTTCAAGTCGGCAATTTCCCAATCTTGCTCATCGAGCCTAAGAAGGAATTCTTCGGCAGCCGTCCTCTCATGAGCTTTCTCGTGTTCATCCAGACCCTCGAGAATGGGAAGCGGGATTTCATGATCGACCAGAATGTTCTGTAGGACGACAGATTGTCTCGAATAAAATTTAGCCTCTTTAGTCCTTTTCTTCAGCATCTCGATGGCAGCGATGAAGCATTCTGTCCTGTTTTGAATTTGTTTCTCTACAAGTGAAAGGATGTGGAACTTCTTGAGAAACCATGGGGAAACCGTGATTCTTTCACGGTGCTTTAGTTGGGCCTTCTCATTCCTTAAATTCGCCATTTCTTCATTTATATTTGCCTCCAGGATCAGGGAATCCTGATAATCGAGGTCATATTGCTGAAGGCGGTGTTGATATTCTTCTTCTTTTTGCCTGAATCGCTGTACCAGCCGAGAATGTATTTGTACGGTATGTTTGCATGGCGTCCACAATATCTTTCTCGAGTGCTCGTACAACAGAAATATTGTGGACATTGCCCAACTTCCCCATCGCCGCAGAAACCGTAGCATACACCGGAAAATTTTTAGCTTGATTTTCGTCCAAGATCATCAGATGTACCTGGTATACAAAGTACGATTCCTAGCATAAGACATGGGATAAAGTTAAAAGGGATTGGATATCATGTAAATATCAACAGATACTTAAAATATTCACATTCACCACCATGAACGGTGATACAATAACTTCTCAAAATAAGGAAGGACTCTATTACAAGGAAATTGAATTCATACAACAATCTGAGAACGAGAGTCATTCCTTGGTTGGTCTTTAGATGATTCCTCGATAGAGGGATTCCCTTCCTCGGCTCCTCCAGTATCTCTCACGGTTGGGGGATCTTGGTCCTTGGCACCTGAATTGCCTATGTCATCCTCCTCGACAGTCTCATCTTCATCTTCCTCGAGATCAATTCCAAAATCCTCGTCGGAGACCTTAGTTACTGCCGATTCCTCACCAGGACCTCTAGAGAAAACAAGAGGCACATCCCCGGGAAATGAGGCAATGTTCTCAGGCAAACCCATCTTGGACAGAGCCTCACACAAGGGCTCTCACAGGGGTAGCTGACCTGTGGTTAGTTTGCAAAGACCCCGGACCAAGGCCTCATACGTGGTCTTCTTTGGGTTTTCCTTCAGAAATTGCTTTAGCCACTTAGCCTTTATAGGCTTTTCTGACTTCAGACCCTCGACGGCAACCGCGTGGCCCCCATAAGCCATCGAGGCAATGTTAATCTCTTCCACAGTAGTGATCATCCCCCCTGATGATAGCATCCTCTACCAAAATACAGTGCACCACTTATTAAGGTCCTCCTTGGAGATGTGCAGGTCGCAGTACTCCTGAAATTTCTGCTTTAGTTCCCCAAGCTAGTTTGTACCAAGGCGAGCTCTATTTCCTTGGCTTGCAGCTGCTAATTCCTTTCTTCGAGAGCTCGCTTCTCGATCACCGCTTGGTCTCTCTCAGCTTGGGCTTCTGCTAGTTCTCACCTTAGGTCCCTGGACCTCTTGGCATAGTTCATCATGACTGTGATCATCTGTGGAAACCAGACACAGAACGGATATATATTCAATGCTACAATATGGAAATCAACGAACGTGTATGGATTGAGAAGTTTACCAATTTTAATCAATCTACTTCGGTAAGGCTGGCAGCAAACTCTTCCAGCATAGGGCACTCGATGGTAGGAAGATTGTCGAAGGTGTGAACTGCGATAGCAGGGCCCCGGCTGGTATCTCAGGGGGCAGGATGGTTACATTCCCCTCAACAGGGCTTTTTCCCTTCTCAACACGACCTGGGTCGAGTGCTTGGCCCGGTCTCCTTCTCTGAAGTCTCCTTCTCTGAAGGTGCCTCCTTCTCGGTTCTAGGGGGAATAGTCTCATCGGTCTGCCTTGCTGCTTCAATCTCCTTGTCGGAAGAAGTGTGGGTTTTTGACTTCTTCGCGGTTGGCCCCTTCTCGGACTCCCTGGCCATAGCCCTCTTCTTCTTCTTCTTGTTTATCTTCTATGCCACTAATTTCATGGTGGAAGTATCGTCATCTGAGTTTACAACATTAAAGGGGTTAGAGTCACCATATAATCCAGAACCGGCGTTTCCCGATGACATGACCTAAACACACAGAAATAATAACGAGATTAGTACCTTCCTTTTCCTTGAAGGGGACACCGAGGATTTTGTCAGCTTCTAATCCCTCGATTGGCATGACAGGAACGAAATGCTGCACTGCTCCATATCCTAGTATCTTGGGATATCTCTCGAGTTTCTCTAAGTCACTGGCAAAATCAAAATCTTCTCCTCATCCTCCTTCGTCCACTCATCTTTTACCGCCTCGAAGCCTTCGGCTTCTCTATAATTTCAAGCCACGCAGTATTTTTCAGGAGCCTTTACATACAGGAAATTGGGTTTCCAAATGCAAGACCCACTATAGGCTTCTACTATCTTTCGAGAGCCTGACACAAGGTTTCTCTTCACCATATACCAATCCTGAAAAGCTGTAGACGGTGTAGACACTCTAAAGAAGTACCTCCACAACATAAGACAGGGTCTCACCTTGGCTCGTTGGCATTTATTTATAAAACCGAGGACGTAGGTTATGAGGTTAGGGGTGAATCGAGCTAGTGGAATTTTATAATAGTGAACAATCTCCTCGAACAAAGGAAAAGGGGGGAATCTCAACCCCAGAAACATGAAACGTTTGTAGATGGTGATTTTTCCTTCTAGGAAAGTATTGACTCTCTCAGTTCCTAGGGGCGCTCTCATTTCTAAATCCTGGGGCAGGTTATATTTTGTTCTCACAAATCCAACCTTCTCGTCAGAATTTATGGTGGAGGCAAAATCATCTACGGTTTTCAAATCTGGGTTCCTAGCCATGGTTCAACCTAGAGCTGTACCAATCTATTCAACCACAGAAAAATATAAGGAAGTAAATGGAATCGAGAAGTCGTAGATCTGGGAACTAACTTTTGGTACTTTTGGCAACGATTTCCACTCCCCTTTTGAGTTGTAGCTTCCCAGATTTGCAATGGTCACCAACGGCAGTGACCCTAGGCGTCGGCTGGGGGAGCGACAGGACGGTTTGCTGATAACACAGTTAAGAAACCTCTTCTGACCACGGCTTCTTCTCAAACCAATGGAAACGGATATTACTGACCACAATACCTGGGGCACTGTGGCAAACTCAGATATTCACAGAATGGGCTTTGAGAGTGGGGGAAAGTTGTTCTCTTCACAGAATGAAATAGGGGGAATAAAGAACCCAAAAGGTTTTATTTACTGCTGTTGCTGCCCACGATTTGACGATTTGGGCGAGTTCCAAGGGAGCAGTAATGATGAAGGTATCGTCGCTTGGGGAACATGCCCACTGATACCGCGCGGTTTAGCGGTTTGGGCGGGATCTTAAGCGAGTCGCCTCCTTGGGTCAGATCCTGACCCGCGAGCTGCTTTATGGGATCTGCTCAGTAAAATATAGGCCGTGTCTGGTCCGCCTTGCTTGGGCCGGGTCCAGTCAGTTTTATTTTATGTCAAATCTTGTTTATTTTGTGTAACTAATACTTGACAGGGGCACTTGATGAGTCCTTATCCACAGAGGATTATTGGACCGGCCCATCAACTAGCTATGGCCCAGCCGACTTGATAAAGGCGGTTCTAGAACATGAAACTTAGTGGGATTCGGCATCTTCCAAGGTAACTTCATGCCTATAAATAGGATTGATCAGACCACAATACGGGTACGATATCTCTAGCACAAACTACTACCCACATACTTTCTTTAAACCCTTTTCTGACTTAAACATCAAAGTGTCTACCCTCGGGAGATCCTCGAAGCCTTCTTTTGCAGGAAACCCTAGCTGAGGTTCCACTACCGAACCTGCGGTGTAAAACCAAACTTCGTCAGTATCATCAATATTATTTGTGAACAACTCGCACAACGTGCGGGGTAAATACTAGTATATATTAAAGGAGAGTTTTCAATCGAACACATGGCGTAAAATGAGATTGGATAGTCCACGTGGCGAAAAATTAGATAGCCAAGTCTACATGTCTTAACCACATCATTCCATCATTTAATAGTAATTTTTTGTTTGTAAATCCGTAAAAGTTATAAATAACTCATCTATTAATAACTAATTTATAAGAAACATGATTCCAAAAAAAGTAATCAACGAAAAGTTCAATTGAGGAACTCAAGATCTGTAGAAATCTACCCAAAAACTAATCAATAAATTAAGGGATAAGGACAATTACCTCCTCGAGTTATGTCCCAATTACAATTACCCCTCTGACGTTTTATATAAGGAAAAATCCCCTTCTTGACCGCTAGTCAATGGACAAAGCAGCCCTTCTACACTATTCTGGTGGAAAATTAGCCTATGACGTAAGAAAATTAATGTGTTTAAAGTCGAAAAAGCCCTGATTTCTTGAATCAATATTTTTTTGGACAATGCTACCCTTATATGTATTTATAACCCCACGACCCAAGTTTATGCAACTGCCCGTAGACGCTCTCCAGCCAAATTAGGGTTAAACAATTGGGGCTTACTTCGATTGGAGTTCATTTTCTTTGTTAGAGTCAAAATTGAAGGCGAAAACAACCATTTGCGACCACTACTCTTGCCTGGATGCTCAGTGTGTCGATTTGGATCAAAAGAAGATGGAAAATCTTGTTAGTTTTTTCTCTTATTCTTCTTCTTCTCTTCCCCTAAATTTCTCACATGTCAGCCAAATTGAAACGCCCGATTGGAATTCAACAAAGAAGCGATCCGCGTCTGCAATAATTCTTGCAAGGAATTGATTAATCGATAAGGTATATATGGAGTATGTTGTTAAGGTTGTCAATTTTGGGGGCTGGAGTGTTGTTTTTCTTTTTGGTCATTATGGAGTAATCTGAAGATGGGATTTTATGGGTGATTTGAGTATTACGGATTGACGATGTGGGATGCCTTATTTAAGATTTCTAAATCTCAAGACAATCCGGGTAAGCTTTATAATGATTTTCCTCGCCATAATTTTGTTGATTGGCTTTGCTCCGACAAACATCGAATCTGGAGCTACTTTGCACGAAACAAGGAGAAAATCGCAAGAAAGTTTGATGGGAGGTAGTTATTTTAAGATGAAACTGAGCTGGAATTGTTGAGAATGAGTAATTGTAAAATGATGCGTACAGTGGTTATCATAAATTCAACATGTTATTTCTTTGTGCACTGGTGTTGTTGATTGTATTGGATAAGAGTTAATCAATCTTTTCGATTGTATCGGTTAGGGATTAATCTAGTGGCATGGTATGTATATTTTTTCTTTAATTTGTTTCCTGGTGTTGTAATGTGAACAATAAGGGCTGTAATATTTGGTTTGATCACTAGTTTTTTGTGATGTATTGAATCAATGATGTTGCGTATGCCTTGGAAGTGAAATGCAACTACCATAATGTGTAATTTTGTTTGTAATTGTGCATAAACAAGGAAACAGGGACATGACATTGGCAATGTCACAAGTGCACATTTCAAATGTGTATGAAAGGGCTTGTCATAATTGAAAATTTGCTCAATCTGAATCTTCCACCGTTTGAATATCTGCTATCATTATCCCCTTGCTAACTACATTGAATCCCAACACCAAAGACTTACCTTCTTGCCTTTCTTTAGCTTTATACTTGGTAGAACCTTCACCAGCAGTTGCACTGCTCTAATCTGAAACCTTCAAACCACCATTGCTAAAAATATCCTCTCTAACACCTGAACTTGTGGCAACTTAAACCTGTAGCAATTCAAATCAGGAACAAAGCTTAAACTTGGAAAAACACTATTGTCAACCTGATTTTGATCGCATAAAAGAGAGTTAAACATTATGTAGTAAAGTAATAATATCATTGCCTTAACACAGGCCAAAAAAAAAAGATAATTATTTAAGCCATGCAATCTGCAAAATTGTCTCAAAAGCAAAAGTGGTAGTTCAAAACAAAAAACATGAGTACATTCAGTGTCTCAGTTATAAACCACATAAGAAACTACTATAATTATATTAAGACTAATCACCGGGTGCACTTTCTTCATTGCAGGAGTTCACTTGTTTTGCAGCACCTGTTTTTGCTGATGCAAATGTTACTATCTTGGGGGCAACAACAGGAATGGACACATTTCCACTTTGAGCTGGTTGGGATGTTGAAACTCCAACTTTTAATTTTCTTTTGCTGGATCATCTACTACAAATCTTTCGGCCAATTCACCTTATGCTCCCAAATAACCTTTCAACACTCCTAGAGTTACTGACCTCCTGAGACACAAAATTATGTCTTAGCTACAAACATAGCAAACAATTTACATTTTCTTGATAAATACATCTGCAATAAACCAAAGCAAAATCAGAACAAACTTGCTGGTTGATCATGGGTTGTTTTTTCCCTCCTGCCTTAGTATTCAACATGAATGTATCACCCAGAAACTCAATACCATCATTGTTATCCTGTTTCTTCTTTGATTTCTTCTGTAGCTGCTTAGAAGGTTCATTTAATAGTTGTCTTATTCCATACTGATCAGCTTCACTAAGAAACTAAATGTCGGTCATTTGACCCTTCAAATGTATTGGCACAAACTTAAATGTTAGATAATAATATTTTAAATTACTACATAAATTAAAATTATTAATATATAGTACCTGAGTATTTTTGACAGCCCGTTTTCTTTTGTTTCTTCCAGGATTGACAACTTGGCTTGGATTAGTACTATGATGTGAGCCACTAGGTCTTTGAACTGAGCCATTTGTCTGGCTTGATTGAGTAAGAGGAACATTTGGTTGGCTTTCACTACCAGTAAAGTTTCTAGTTACTCCAATCCCAGCCTCAATAATTCCAACTCCAGTAGCATTGACAGTTACTCCAATTTCAGCAAAAGCATTTCTAGTAGATCCATTCCCACCACCATCACATCCAACACCTCCATTTCTAGCAACTCCTCTTGTACCAGCTCCATTCTCAACCCTTGCAGCAGCTTTAGTTTTACCCCTTGCAGCAGCTCCATTTGCATTCTACACATCAGAAATACAACAAAAAAATAACTTAAATTTTAAGATCAAAAACTATGTTTAAAATGGTAAAAAAAAAAACAAAAACCTGTACCTGTAGTTTTTTGTTGCTGTAACCTTTTCTAGTCTTTACAGGTCCACCAGCACAAGTTCGCGTATTATGTCCATATTCACCACACTTTCCACACTTGCCCCTAGATGATCTCTTCATTGGCTCTTCATGAGCAGATTTTTTTCTTTTATTTGTCGGCCTTCCAGATCTTCTTCTTGTCAGAGGAGGAAGGCATTGTGGGGATGCAAACTCTAGCCAAAAGGATTGGTCTTTCACTGGTAACATGGTCTGGTTGTATGTCCTCAAATAGTTTGTCTTAGAAAGACTTGAATCGCAATATGATTCCGATTTTTCTCTTCTATTAAGTATCACCACACATGCATGCCTACAGGGAATTCCAGTATGGTTCCATTCCTTACAATTGCAATAGCCTTCATCAAGTTTGACTACAAACGACTTATTTTCTTCTCTAACCTCGAAAAGTTTGTCTTGGGAACACCAAAATTTCAGAGTTCTTGAGGCTTGTGCATTTGCTTTGAGCTGTTTTATAACTCTTGGGGTTACATCATATACCCACAAAGTAGCCTCTGCATATCTCGTGTGAATTTTTGACATCAATCTTCCTCTGATTGTATCATACATCACCACAACAGGTTTACCTCTCAAGTCTCCAACCCAACTGTTAAATGACTCTGAAATATTATTTGTGACATGCTCACACTTCAAACTTTCTGAAAAGGCATGTCCTGCCCAAGTCTGTTCATCAAGGTCATCAAGATATTCATATGCATCCGGGTTGATTTTTTTGATGTAGTCCATTGCTGCTTTGAACTCGGCCTTAGTATACGCCTTTGCAGCAACCCAAAACAATTTCCTAAGGAGCAAACCTGGAAATCTAGATCTGAAATTTGAGAGAATGTGATGGCTGCAGTTTCTATGAATGGCATGTGGAACCTTATCATCCACAGCATCAATTCGTCCCTATCAATCACACATACATTTAAATAAAGAAAGCTGAAATGATAAAAAGATAAAATAATATTTACAAACTGAGTTAGTTAAAAAGAAAAAATTGTATTAAAATTAAAAAATAAAATGTGGTTACGAACTAATTAAGAGATAAGAAAAAACACTGTAATGATTAAAAAAAAAAAGAGTTGCGCCCGGAGGTAAGGAAAAACAACTGAAATTTGAAAAGAATTGAATTAAGGTCATAAATACCTTTTGCTCATCAGTCATGAAAGTCCACTTTTTGTCTCTTGGAAATCCATCCATCAAGTCTGAGAATTGTTCGAAGAAAAATTTCCAACTATGAATATTCTCACTCTCTACCACAGCAAAAGCAATGGGAACCAAACCATTATCTCCATCTATTCCAATAGCACTAAGTAAAACACCGCCATATGGACCTTTAAGAAAACATCCATCGAAACCCAAAAAAGGTTTACATCCTTTCATTACCGCATTTGCAAGAGGTTTAAACCCTAAAAATGCTCTCATGATATTAGGGATAGTTTTACCAGGTTGCATTTTATACTCTATCTTCACCACAGTCCCCCGAATACTTTGTTTTACCATTTCAAAGTATGTAGGCAGCAATTTCCAAGACTCTCCATGATTGCCATCTAACATCTCAGTTGCCAATGTTCTTGCTCTAAAGAGCTGCTTATTTGATGGGTGTACCCCCAATTTTATCAAAGAATCCCTGAGAATATCAATCTTTACACCCCGATCAGCTCTAACTAAGTCTAGGACTTTCTCAGCCATCCACCTTACTGAAGCGGTCAGATTTGGATTAACTTGGCATGTATGAATTGGTTGACATGTCTTCACAGCACATGTAACACCATCAGGACATACAGAAGCATGTGCCCTCCAGTTACATTCTTCACCATTAGAGTATGATGTGACTCTTGTCTTCTCATTTACAAACTTGATAATAGTGAATCCCCACGATATGGAGTACTCATATAGGGCCTTCCTATAAGCATTTAAATCTGCAAATTACATACCTTTCCTAATTTCAAATTTGCCTCCCTCAAGTACCTTGAATTCTGACCTATTCACACATCCATTGAAGGGATCATCATCAAAATCCTCGTCGGAATCATTGCAATCACTAATTTCTTCTTCTTCTGTTTCACCTAATGACAAGCCACTATGATCTTCTTAACATCTCATCTTCTTCTTCTAGACCCTGATCATCATCGCTCAAACAATATAGTTCATCACCACTCTCATCATTTTGCTCTTCTTCCCCATTGGCATTAGTTACATCTTCCCCAGCTAGTTGTGTATTTTCCCTGAAGCTTTCACAAGTTCCAGTGTCACCATTTGCAGTTAGTCTAAACCCAACATTTTGAGATGTACCAAAGTCACCATTTTCACATATATAATCATTTGCAGATGTGTCTCCTCCAGCATTTTTTTATTCTCTGACTACTCTTTCTAAGAGCATTGATTTCTTTAATATTCTTTGTTATCCTTCTCTTCCTCTTACGCTTCTGCTTCACTTCAGGGACATTTAGAAAAGTATTGACATTAGCTCCAACAATGTTTACACCATTTGTGTTGAAGTTCTCGGCCATAGCTAGATTAGGGTCTTCACAACCACCATTGATAGTGACCTGTGAGCTACCAAATCCACTTAATAATAAACCACCATAATTGTCTGAATATCCTACATCAACACCATTCCACATTTCAAAACCACTAGCAGTCATATTTCCAGAATTCTCATCCAAGTGATGGCTCTTCTCACAAAGTCCAGAATCCTTACTTACATGCAAATTAGAACCACCTAAATTACCACCCTCGGGATCATCCAAAAGCAACTTAACATCATCAAGATAGATATTTATACACTTCTAATTTTGACACAACTCAAATACATCGGCAAGAACATTATCATCACTTACCAGCATCTTTTCAGTCCTCCCAGGCACTTCAGCAGTTATACAACAATCTAACACTTTCCATAAGTCGGGATCATTATACAAGACATTAGTCATATCAGACAAGAGAACCACACGAGAGTACTCTTCAGCGTCCACCTTTCTTATCTGAAAAACCTGACCTTTGTAGTGTAAAATAAACTCATGCAAACCACCGGCCTGTAATATGGGAGTATAAACTAATCAAAAAAAAAATCCAAAACCCGACCCAATTTAAATTACAGTAAAAGAACAAAACGTCTAGCATATGAACCAAAAAATAAGCACTGAAATATTGATCATGTCTTGCAAATCATATTATGCACCGTAATTCCCATTTGTAAGTTTGAAAAAAAAAACCCCCAAATGTTGGAATTTCCACTAAATCAAAGAACCATAATCGATGGATTCTATACATACAACATATGATGAAACGTAATCGGGATCAATATACTATTCGAATTTCATGTAATCATTGGAATTAAACGTTAAAAAAAATATTTACAAAAAACCCTCAACTTTCAGGATTGATTGTTGAAAGGGCTTCACGTTTTCATCTACAATTTGCGATCAATCTTACGAGTACTAGGCAAATAAAATACACCATCTTTCATGCTTAACAATCCATGCATGTGACCAAAGAGAGTTCTCAACACTCACCATTTTTGGCTGGCTTCTTTTGGACAAAACAAATGCCCGTCGATTTTGTTTTCCTGATGATCTTCGTCTCACCGCAATGAATCCGATTAAGATGGTAATTGAAGATGAAATAAAAAATCACCACAAGAAATTGATCGACAAAGTGAAGTCATGTTTCAGAAAGCTTTGAAAATTATTGCCTGGATTTTGAACGATAAAATGGGACAGGGGAGGTTTTAATTTCATCGTGTAGCCAGAGGGTTAAATAAGTAACTTTACCTTTTGCATTTCCCGCCCAAGATTTTGCCGGAACCACCATGGTTTTATTGTCATTTCACCAAAAAGTACTGTTAACATTTATTTTCTGACGGTCAAGGGGGAGGATTTGTCCTTATATAAAACGTCGAGGGGATAATTGTCTTTGGGACATAACTCGAGGGGGTAATTATCCTTATCCCATAAATTAATTACCCAATTTGATAAGGCACTCCATGATGCATCAAGAAACAAACAATGTCAGCGTAAAAAGTCGAGGGAAAAAAATCCCACTTATTCCTTTTTATTGGAAATCTTACGGACACGTTAACTCTTCCTTCAAAATATATTTATTAAATATGAATATTAACAATGGTAATCAATGTTGTATATTACCATTTCTTACATCTGACGAGCACAAACATAAAATAATATATGGATTTTTAATGGGCACATATCCATTGCATATGTGTGGATTGTTAAATATACAATACAAAGGCATATATTAACCATAAAATTAGATACAATAGAACCTCTATAAATTAGTAGTGTTAGAACAAGTAAAATTTATTAATTTAGAGAATTATTAAATAATTAATACATTAATAAATTAATAATTTAAAAATTTTATATGAAAAAAGTAGAACTGTCACTAGAGATTACGTAATTTGTAGTTGTCTTTACATCCGAATTGATGAAGTACTAAAACTCTTCTGAGTACTAAATATTCACACATAGTTCATATCACCTCTACGGACTAAAATAAAAGTATCAATAGTTCATATATTTATAGTTATTATTATTATTAGGATCTATAGATATATAAGAGATTTTTCTGAAACATTACTACTTTATCATTTTATCAATCTTCTTCATTTGTATTGGTCTCAAATTAGAATCAGAGAAAATTATTAATTACTAGAATTATTAATTTAAGGACATTCTACTGAATGTTGATTTCTAAAGGGCACATATCCATTACCTATATGTGGATTTTTAAATATACGATATAACTAACGGACACATATGAATTATGTGTCCATAATGGCAAAAAAATAATATTAATAACAAGCAAAAAAGTGAGGGGTTAGCTCTCACCTTGCCTATTGGCACCTCTAGGGGCTTGTTATGGCAAATCCACTAACGAACTACCGATTTCGCACCCCAGCTTGTCACCCTGGGCTTGCTTAGGTTGGTTTACCTCCCACTGTGATTTGCAGGCTATTGCAGTGGGCATGGGTTTACTCATCTCTGATGGGGTTCCTGGCGTTATAAAAAAAAATACTAATGTATCCCGTTCTATAATGAGTAATCTAACGGGTAATATAAATATATTTAATAAAATCAAAGGGTATAATTTTTTGTCTCTTAGCGGGTAGTAGTAATAAATAATTATTGTTGATTACTTTGTGTAAAAATTATATATAAAAAAAGAGGTAATTGGATGAAGAATAATTATATATACGTATTATTATATATGATTATAACATCCCACCACTAATAAGATTAAACTATATATGGATTATTTAAGAAATTACACATCATAATAATAAGAGTAAACTATTTATCAACGTAAATATATTGTAGTTAAATATATATTTCATGTATTATTTAAAATTATTTCATCATATATTTTCTTTGTTCTTTTTCTTTTTAAAGTTTTTTTAGGGAAATCCATGGCGGTACATGGTGGGATATACTCCTAAAATAATTATTGTAGTTAAGATGGACAATAATTAAATTGAATGATTTTGAATATTGAAAATAATTCTAAATACACTTAAAATAACAAAACGCACATTGACACTAAAAAGTACAGAATTACAATTTATATCATTAATATTATTTTTTACACATATCATTCAAGCAAAAATATCATGTATCGTTAAATCATTAAACTAATATATACCTTGAACAACCCGCACAACGTGCGGGGTAAACACTAGTATGTATTAAAGTAGAGTTTTCAATCGAACAAATTCCATAAAATTAGTTAGGGTAAGCCACATGACGAAAATTTAGATAACTAACTCTACATGTAATAATCACATCAGTCCATCATTTAATAGTAATTTTTTATTTATAAATCCGTAAAATTTATAAATAACCAAATTTTCCCGATTAATCAAGAGCAAGTTAATCAAATTATAATTTATTACATCATATTCCTTTTTCAACTATCCCTAAAAATACAGACCTTGAATTACTAATAAGTTTTTTTTTTATAACTCACCTTTCATGTAAGCTTTTGTTATTGATAGTAGTAATTACACATAATCAATAAAAGTTCCCAGCTTGTGAGCTTGTTCAAAATCCAACAAATTAATAATCCTTTCCCAGACCACATTTATCGATGAATTTCACTTAATAAAAAAAGAAAAATTCAATTGGCCTTTTCCAGAATACAACCATTACAATTCTGATTCCACCTTATCAATTCTGATCCCACCTTATTTACCTACCTTTTCCAGGTAGAGTTTCAAAATTTTACAATATTTACCCAAAATATAATTGGAGTCAACATGTTGCTTTCTCTCTGTTTCATATTCTCTCTTCAACATCTGCCAAGAAATCAATTTGAGGCTTTTCAGAAGACCATTCCAGCCAATTAGATAAAGTACAAATTGGTTGGAAAGAACGATAGCAAATAAATCTCTATAACATGCAACTCCCATCCAATCGGAATTTTAGAAAGTTATGTAATTTTGAATAGACAATTTGAATTTTGGAATTGATGATTATCAAATGATTTAATGATCTGATCTCTTAATTAATTATTTTTTAACTGAGGACACGATATAATAAATATATTATAATATTATATTCATTATATATTATATTGTTATATTCATATGATATAACGGTAGAAAAATTTAACATTATGATGATAAAACAAATAGTATAATGTATGATTACTAATAAATGTTAACGTATGATGGAGAAAGTTTTTCAGAATGAGAAAAAGAATAAAGGTCTTTATGAGAGACAAATAATAGAAGAAAAGCATATCAAAAAATTAGAAATAATTATATGCAAGAAAAAATTATGTAGAGAATAAGAAAATATGAAAAAAAGAAACAGGGATAATAGAGAAAAATGAAATAATAAAATTTTTAAGAAATAAAACTTTAAAGAGAAGTCATCAATTTTTTTTAAAAAGGTCAAGATTACACAACCAAGGAAAAAAAAATGAAGTAAACACTTTATTATAGGAATAATATACGAACAAACTTCTAAAGAAAGGCTGGAAAAAGTATGTATAGAAATGGAAAATAAAGATAAGTTTACGGAAAGAAATAACGAAAAAAATTCTTAGAGAGAGTATAAAAGATATGACTGGGGTCGAAATATTTCAAGAAATTATTATTAAAAATTAATAGAATATTTTTAAAAGGTATAAAGTTATAAATCAATAAAAAGATGGACAATAAGTTACATTGGATGATTCCAAATAAAAAAAATTATTTGAAATGTACTTTAAATAAAAAAAAATACACTGAAATTAAAAATTGTACAATTACAATTTAGATGATTAATATTAATTTTGAATAACCAGCAAGTGTTCAGGGTAAACACTAGACCCTCCACGTTGGCTGGGACATTAAGTGCTTGTATGGATAGCAGTTTAAAACCCGTTTTGCTTAGTTTGCCTCTCAAGTCCAAAAATCGAGGCCCAAAATATTCTATGGCCAGCTTCCCTTTTAAAGTTCCATCTCAACCACTTTTTAGTTTCCATCTTAAACCAAAAATCACTTTTAGCCCATCTTCCATTTCTTCCACCTAAAAATATCGACAACAATCCCCTCAAAATTTCCGTCGACCAAGGGTTTAACAAAACGTTATCCCTTTTACCACCACTCCTGCATTTACATCACCATTGACCTTCAGAGCTGGTACTTTTTTTGGGTTGTGCCTTATCCCGCTCCATTCAAATAGCACAACTCGCCTCACTACTATTACGATTTGGTTTTTAATTGGTTCATCCTATGGTCCCCTTTATATCAATTTTTGTGCTTCCTTTTATTTTCCTTTTTGTTCCTTGTGTTATGTACACATGTTTGTGTACTATTATACAAACTTTCGTAATTTGGTGTCAAGTGTTTCACTGACATTTGTTCTGTGTTTGGCATCTTCCAATCTACTAGGTTATTTCATGACACATCGCAAATTGGGTCGAATCCGGCTTTCCATTTGTGCTTTGTCCTCGCCCTTTTGTAATGCAAAATTCTCCCAGGATAATTGAAGCAAGGCAGAGGTTAAATATAAATCTGAGCCCCAACTTCATTGGGTGTTTTAATGTTCATTCATAGTAGCTAGGTACTGTGTTATTTGTTTTATTGCCCCAATTGTCTATGCTGCATATTGTTTCTCACATTGCATTATGAATTTATGATATATGACTACCCATAAACCGTGTCCTCATTTTTTCAATTGCTTTTTTTCCCTGTTGGGACTTTGCTTTTTTTTCCTTTCTAAATGATCATAGACATGTAAGAGTAATTTAGTTTAGAATGGCTTACTGGCAAACTGAAATTTACCAGCAAAGGGTTACCTTCGAACAATTCCAGCTAAGGGTGTATCAATGGCAACCTAAAAGGACAACCTTAGTTGGTAGACTGGTTTTGCGTCAGTCAGTCCGGGCAACAATTCCATCGTATTTGATGCAGTTGATGTCCCTCCCTAAAGGTACCTTAGACGAAATTGACAAAATATGCAGGAGTTTTTTGTGGAGTTTCAACAGGGAGGCAAGGAAGCTCAATTAGGTAGTTTGGGACTCTATATGTCAACCTAAGAGTCGAGGAGGGTTAGGTATGAGGAAATTAAGAGACACTAATATCTCTCTTATTCTTAAATTTGTATCGGGACTCCTCTTAGATAGCAAATATTTATGGTGCGAAGTGCTTAAAACAAAATATGGTTGAAAGAACAACTCTGTTCCAACTGTTTTAAACAAGAGGAATGGATCCCATCTTTGGAAACAACTATTAGCGGTTTAGGACATAGGGAGAAAAGAGTTATTATACTGTATGTATTATTAAGTGCATGTAGGTAGGTGCACTTAATGTGAAGACACATGC